GGGGGGGGGGGGGGGGGTGATGGAGGGAGGAGGAAGGAAGCGGCGTCCTGTCAGCGGGCGAGGGGGCTTTCTCCTTTACCTGCCATGTTGCGCTGCAAATGGTGACCCTGCTGGGCTCCTCGGGGTCTCCGCTCCCCGGACTCACCCCCCTCACCTGGCGATGGGGGGGCAAAGAGGACGGATGGCGGCGGATGGCACCTGTGGGGGGAGGGGCCGGGAAGAAGGGAGGAGGGGCGGGCAGGCCGGCCAGCAGGATGGTGGATTTCACTCTGGGGCTTCCCCGCTCGTGCTCCTGCTCCGGCGGCGGCGGCGGCGGCTACGACAGCGACGGCGGCAGCAGAGCGGCAGGCGACTCCACTTTCAAAATGGCGCCGGCTGGCCTGGCCAGTGACGTCACCAGGGCGGAGTCTCCAGGCTGGGCGGGGAGCGGCCCCGCCCCCTTCCTGCCGCGCTCGCGCCCCGCCCGCTGCTTCTCGGCCGCTGGGCCTGTTCCGCGCCTGCTCCCCTGGCGGCGCCCCTCGGCCCGCTACGCCCGCTCCTTCCGCAACCCATCTGCACCTCGACCGGGGCCGGCACTCTGGGATAGGCCAGCGTGCTGGCCCCCGCGGGGATGTGTGAGGTCCTGTGTCGTGTTAAAACATGCACCCGTGTTGCCACTGAAGAAAGTGACGCTGGGGGTTAGCCTTGAGGCCGCTGAAGTGAGGGCACGGTGGTGCAGACCGGGTGCTCGGCCAAGGTGGAAGTTCACGGAGCTCGGGAGGACGTCGGTGAGATAGTTGCATCTGGGTGAATCAGATGACCTTCGCATGGGCCCCAGAAACCGGGGACACAATCGTTCCTGGCGACTGCTAGCGGCGGAGTTGACCTTGTGAGCAGGGTGGATATGGCAGCAGGTCTGCCCAGCTATCGGTGGTAGAGTCGGCCGGTAAGAGCTGGGCTCCGGGGCCGGGATGCCGAATGCTGACTCCGCGGCCCGTGACATGGGATGACAACCCTCCCTTCCAGGATGGACTGACTTCATTTGAGTACGCGATAAATGTTAGCTGCTGTTATTACTAGATTTGTATGGAGAGCATCTTCAATCGAGTTAAGAGGTAGAAAGGAAAATAATAAACAGGAAATGCTGGTCGTCAGCCCAGAGGGCGTGTGCACTTGGTTGGGAGATGCACTGAGGACCAGTTACTGTGTACTGAACCCTTTACGTATCCCTCTTACTGTCCACAGCACTCCTATGAGACAGCCACATTTCACACATTGAGAAACACCTGCAGAAACATCCAGAATCTGACCTTAAGGCGGAATGGAGTGATAAAGGCATTCGGAGAAGGGGGAGTTTAAGATATTTACACGCGCTTTCTACCTTATTCTTGATCTCCAGAACAGTTCGATCATAAGGCGAGTTTTGAAATTCCTCCACGAGGAGCAGCTGCACCACTGGACATTATTCCTCCATGTCTATGTGAATATTTCTTACTCTACCAATGAATAAACCAAAACTGAAAGTCCACCATGTATCTGTCTTCTTCCACTACCTGTGCAAACAGGTACAAAACTTAAGTGCACTGTGTGATGTATTTACTTCTATTTTGATGGGTTTCATGAATGTTTTTGTCCGGGTGTGCCTTTATCATTCGTTTTCCTTTTCACTTGCTCCGCCCTTGTTTGGTAGTTTAATCTAGTCTCCCTAGTGAAGGTTTCCCATCTTAACCAGAACTCACAGAGAGAAAGAGAGTAGACTGTTAAACTAGGGGACTGACACCCCTGTAGGCAAATCATTTTTCTTTTTTATGCTTCAGTTTTTGCCATGTGTAAGATTTGTATCTTCATACGTCCTGCAAATGATTTTGTCTACATAAATAATCTGTTCTTAGAAGCCAGTAAAGCTTGCCTAGAAACTGGGACAATTATAACAAAAATTCATATAGCACTGGCTATGTGCTTGGTGCTGTTCTAAGAACATTATATGAGCCTCGAGAGCACTACATGCTCATAAATAACCTGAGATGAGTCTAATGATCAAAGATCAATGCACCCTGGCACCCTGGTATAAGTGACCTGGCACATTGTGGCTCTAAGCAGCCCCTTCAGAGGACCACAAGCTGCCTCCCTTTCTTCTGAATGGTGCCTAGGAACGGGCAGGAACACCCACTCACCCAACGTCAAGGGTTGCGGTTATCCATCTCCCCTTCCTTATCTTACCTTCCGTCTTCCATCCTCCGTAGTTTGGCTGTCCTTACCACTTCACTGAAACAGCCTCTGTCGAGGCCATTCATGATCTCCATGCCACCAAATCCAATACTCTCTTACCTGTTTTTCTCTTCCTGTGCTTCCCAACAATATTGGAAACCATCGATCACTCCCTCCTTCTTGAGACTTCTTTCTTTGACACTTTATTGGTCCCCCCCATCCCCCAGCATTTCTAGCAACCCTTTCAGTTTTCTTTGCTGACTCCTCCTCCCCGACCACCCTCTAAATATTAGGGCCATCTGTCTCCATGGCTCTGTCCTAGGGTTCCTTCTTTAATTATAATTCTCCCAGGCAACCTCATTTAGTCTTACACATGTAAATACCGTGTAATACCATGTGACTGCCAAATTTAAATCTCCAGCTCTTTCTTCATCCTAGAACTGCAGGCACACACCTCTCTACCTGCCTACATGACATTTCTATAGATGTCCAATAAGCATTTCAAACATATCACTGCTAGAACACAAGTCTTGATTCCTTACCCTCTCCATACCATGGCTGGTGCTGTCCCTTTCTCTGGAACACACCATTCACTTACACCACCACCCCTGCCTTAACACTCCCACACACCCATCCTTCTTTCCTTCCTCAGCCAGTAAAACACCTGGGTCTTTAAAAACAGATTCAGATGCAGTTTTCTCCAGAAAGCCTTCTCTGGCATTTCCCCCCATTCCCTACCCACCTTAAGCTGGGTAGGTTTAAATATTCTCATAAAATCCAATGCACTTCTCTCTTTCAAGACCACATTAAAATGATCTAAATATTTGCCTGTTACAACAATGAGTTCTTTGAGGATAGGAAGTATGTATTCATCTCCAGATCACCAGCCACATAATTTGTTGGATTAATGGATGAATGAATAAATCTTTCTGGCTTGGGAAGAAAACCACTGAAATGTTGGCTTTTTAAAGCTTGATATAACATAAATGTTTTTATTCACCCTTCTTAACTCTAGAAGAAAGAGGTGTTTTACAAATGATCTCGGTTGCTCTGCATTTGTTAGGCAACAGTTGGTTAAATATATAAAATGCTTATATAGAGAGATTTCATCCCAACTGCTTCCAACTGGTCCTTCATCTTCTGAATATATATTATCCAAGAGGATCTCATAGGACACCATTCCCTCATCCACATGCTACCATGCAAGGTTTGTTGTTGTTGTTGTTGTTTACATGAGCTGCTAGCCAGATCTTCAACACCTGACACATGTAAGATGCACAAAGTAATACTTTCCTGCAGAACTGAGCTTCCTCTGGATTTTCCTGATGAGGTCCTGGAGAGCCGAGCTGATAGGCACTAAAGGTACCCTCAATCTCGCCGGCAGAATGGAGCTAAGGGGCCTCACCCATGGCTTACTGCAAGACGGCTTTTTAAAATATGTTACACAATCCAAGGAGAGTCACTTGAAAGTTCTTCTTTTCCTACATGAAGAATGTTTGGAGTTGAGATGAACACAAACCCTCTTCCACACTAAATAGGAAATGGCACTGTTTAGCTGCTTATCTCCTCTAGGCGGTTAGACTCAGGGGTATCCAGGAAAGACTCAAGGGTAAGAGGAGAGGTCCCTGATTAGAAATCGATATGGTTTAGAATTTTGGCAACTTCTCCTCAGCCATGCTTTCTGATCTGAAGCAGTTGTAAGGGCCTTACAGTGAAAATTATAAGCAGTTGTCAGCTTTTTACATATTTTCTTAATAGCTATAAACTTGGCCTGGGAGACAGTTTACCCAAACTCTGAAGAGTCTAGACTATAACAATTCACAGTATTCAAGGTGTAGAACTCACTATAATATCACCAAAATATCCTTTACTAGAAGGAGTTTAACAAAATGATAGGGAATCTACCAGGTAGGTTATTATGTAGTCAAATCAAACAGAGGAAATCGCTTGTGCTTTATAAGCAGGATACAAAATGCAGATACAATATGATCACAGATACGTGGAACAAACTACACAAAATATGTAGTGCTGAAAAAAGACAGGAAGGAAATGCACCAAGGTGTTCAGGGCGATGTCTCCAGGCAGGGACACAATGGGTAATTTTCTTCTCTTTTGACTTTTGAGTTCCTCCAAGTATTTTATAATTAACATATATTAAGGGGAAAGAATAAACTTAATTTTAAAACTCCATTCCAATGCTGGTAGTAGAGCATGATGATAACATCTATGTTATAGGTTTTCCACCTCAAAATAAAGTCTGTAGTTCATTATAACCGTATGCACAAATGTGCTATAATCCACAGTTTTAGTATAAAGCAGAGAAACATTTTGTTTTTGTCTTTTGACAGCGTGCATATTTAAAGATGAAGAAAAGATTGGTAAATTCATGCAATTACCTTCTGTTTGTAAACTGCAACCAAAAATCTTTTATGGGAGGTACATTCTGTATGTGTATAAACTGAATATATCTTTGTTATATATGAAATGCAAACTTTGTGAAATTAAACATTATCTCTGAAATGTGTTTTCAGTGTTGCTTATTGAATGGTCATAAATGCCCTGTAATGTAAACTATTATCCAAATAACCTATGTGTTTGGAGAATGAGTCTACTTCCATGATGCAAGTTTTTAAGATGGCATTTGAGTTTAGCTATGATGCAGCCTGTGTTTTATGCCTATATAACAGAAACATATAGGCTTAAGGGCTGGAGGAACTTTAGGTATTAACTACCCAATTCTCACATTGGATACTTGAATTCCTTATAATAACAGGCCCTCCGGTGCTCATTTAAGTTTTGTTTAAAAACTTACAAGTAACTGAGAACCAGCATCTATTCTGTTTTTAGGCAGCTATAATCACTAAGTAATTCTTCCTTGTACTGCCCTTTGTACAGAAATGTACCTCATTGAAACTTTATTCTGCAGACCCTGGCTCTCCCATCTGGGACCTCTTCAATGTGAACACAAAGGTCATTTAGGCATTGGAACATAACTACATCTCCCAAACTTTCTCTTCTCCACAATAATCAACCCAACTTCAAAGCTTCTTTTCTGGCCCAGCGTTGATTTCTAAATCTCTGCATTACCTTGGGCATATCATCTGCAGATAGTCTAGTTATTCCAAATGCCTCAGGTAGTTATGCCCAGAAGTAAATATAATGATTCAGTCCTGATGATTACACACCTGAGCAAAACTGTTACCTG